AGCTCTGGGCAAGGGATTGGGGCAGAGGAGGGATGCAGGGTGTATGAGAGGGCTCAGGGAAGGGGGCTGGGGTGCAGGAGGTGTTATTTAAACTTTCCACAGATGGTCAGTAGTTGTGTGTTCCTCATTGTTTGAGTGCCTGACTTGAGACCCTGGGATAATTTGCAGATTGGCTGAGCACTTAAGACTGCAACTGAAATTAATGGGAGCTTTGCTTCAAACATATAAAGTACGATATAATGCTAAATACTCTGAAAAATCAGGCCCTAGTTGTCTCACCTTGGGCACCCAAAATTAGTGGAAACTTTTGACCTTACTCTCTCTGTGTCTCAACTGTCCAACTGTAAATTGGGGATAATGCAACCTTCTCATGCCATGGGGGTATTGTGATGATAATTTGTGTGTGAAGCACTATTATGATTTGAAAACTGGGTTTGATAACTGTGCAGCGAATAAGACATAGAGCCACTACTGAATAGTGATGATAAAATAAAATATTGAATAATTGCTCACTGAGTGGGCACTGTATTTCCTGTGCATTGAATGAGACAAGACACTTTATCCTGTGGATAAAAATAGTATGTGATTATATAATTAAAGGTATATGCTAAATTAAGGCTAAACTAAGATTTCCTAAGTGCTTGACTTTGCAACCTTAATTCTCTTAATGTAGCTTTTTGTGTGCAATATGCATATATTTAGCAGTATCTTTTACTGATAGATATGGACTAAACCAGTTCAGAAATGGCTTCTTCCAGTCCTGTGGTAGGTGCGCTTCTGTGTAGGCTACCATTTTGGAACATGTGCTTTAGGGGTAAACTAAACTGGTTTGGTTAAACCAGTGCGACTTTGTATGTGGGCTCATTTATATCTGTTTATCTTCCACTTGCAATAAGCCTGACTTAAATGGATATCAGAGTGTGCATATAGAAAATTGCATAGGTTTTACTAAAATGATATAAAATCACTCCTTTAGTTAATCCGTTCAACTCTGTGTGTAGACCAGGTTTTAAAAACTAGAAATAGCAAATTATTCCACTAACA